GAGAGAGCCTGGCCTAGGACCTAGAAGTTATAAAGTTATCCCTTTATTATCACTAGTATTTCTAACAAATGTGACGTCGTCATCCTCTGGCCCAGATACGGAGCTCTGGACTTAGTTACTAACAGTCTGTTTCTGTGTCCGCCCCCTGCAGTGCTCGTCTGGCCCCCTGGTCCCTTCTCAGACGGGCACCAGCTACCCAGATAGCGTGAGCACGATCTCCTTAAGGACTCTGTGGAAAACCATCTTTCTGCAACAAATGTCAAACAGAAAGACCAGCCCCACAGTTTCTGACAGCCCGCCTGTTGCGGCCCCATGATGAAAAGCATTAGGAACCTCAGAACCTGAAATCTGAGAACGCTCCATTTATTCAGGAAAGCTGGTACGGAAGTACAGCTGGGGCAAAACAACTGCATGAAAATGACCCTGAATTACAACCACGTCTCAACTCTGCGTGGTCATGGCGGGATGGAATCCAGCAACGCCAGCAGCTCGCCTGCAGGGCTGTGCAACAGCCTGATACAGGGAAGCGGGACAAATAAAACCCACAGTCCGGGAACCTCGTTCCCATCTCACCCACCTGCAGACACCTGCGCCCCACAACGCGCCCCTATGAGCCACCCTCCTTGTCTTCGGACGTGCGGCCGCATCACGCACACCTGTGGTCAGTCAGCCTGAAGAAGTGATGCTTCCGTGGCAGGGAGGGCAACCCCAGTGGGCTGTGTCCAGGGAAGCTCGCCCTCCTGCCCCGTCCCCAGGCTCCACGCATCAACAGGCCGGACAGGCACCTCCACCGCCCTCTCCTGCCCGCTCATCACATGTCCAGCACCCTGCACGGCCCCGGAGAGCAGTGTGCACTGCCCCTGCATTCACTGCTGCGTGACCCATAGCCCTGAGAGAGTGCACTGTCCCGCCTGCCACCACCCAGCACCCAGCACGGCTGTCTGACACATGGAGCAGCCCCAGCTCACAGACACACAGAAAGGAACCCAGCTCTGTGTAGGGACAGCAGCGACACACTGACATCACACGGCTCCCGTGTTTCCGGCTCTTACTGCCAGTCTTACTACCTGTGTATCCGAGACTCGGTATCTTCTGATAGTGTCCACCTCAGACTCGCTCATTTAAAGTTTCCACCCGTGTGTGTTACGGGCTCTGAAACCTCAGCTCCTCCTGAGCTTGGTCCCCACAGGCCACCCAGGGGGCTGACACCCCCTTGTCTGGGCACGGGCCGGTCCCTCAACTAGGCTCATCCGCATGGCGTCTCCCTCACTCAGTGTGGGGGTGACAGCACTGCCCTCGTCACAGGGGCAAGGACCAGTGCAGGGGACAGGGTCCAGCACAGCCCTGGTAATGAAAAAACAGATGAACCGTGTTTCCCTCCACTGGCGACAGAGGATGAATTTATGAGCACAGAATCGAGCAACCAGATAACCGAGCCTGCCAAGCAACACAGTTGTGAAGCCAAATTATAATTTCCTTAGAATTCAAGAAGAAGGAGCAGAACTTAAGAGGACAGAGGAACCCTCCGGTACTTTCCACGTAAGGGACACCCAGGGCAGCTCCTGGGCACCCAGCCCACCCTCAAGTCTGGCCACACACACCTGTTACTCCCCCTGCGGTGGGGTTACCTCCGAATTACGACAGCAGACGTCTCACCCACAGAACCAAGGGATGAGAGAAAATGTCCCGAGCGCTGCCCCGGCTCCCTCTCCTTTCAAGAGGGCAGGCAGTGCTGGGAGCGAGTCGGTGAGGTGGGGGCCCGAGTATCTGACAGGCTGGCCCTTCCCATCCTTCCAGATCAAGAGAACCCACAGGCCAATGGAAAAACCTGCACAGACATTTACATAACAGAGGAAGCTTCCTTCTGTCCCTCTGTCCACACCTGAACTCAAGGCCACAGGTGCGCTCTGGAGACCCAGCAGCTGGCTGGCGGCGTGAAGGCGGAGGGCCGTGGATTCACTATCGGTGCACACAGAACACGAGTCTCCCTCACTGAAGGGGGCGGAATGGGAGCCAACAGCCAGTCATGATCTCCGTGCTGGAAGACAGCCATGCCAGGGCACTGTCTCCTCGAATGCCAGCATACCAGGTCTTCCAGAATCTGGTCGGTTTAAATTTAAATTTAAAACAGGAAGCTGCCTAAGAAGTCACACACAGTCGCCACCAACCGCACTGGCTCTAGACTCAGGCTAAAGGCCCAGGCATTGTCCATGCAAGTCTGGCGACTACACGTCCTGTGCCATCCTGTCCTGACGCCACCCGTCCCGCAACAGTGCTTCACGACACGGGGTAGCAGGACCACTCTCATCCCCAATCCTGAACCCAGCAGCCCGTGTCACCAAGACTCCCGGCTGCACACAGAGAAACCAGAGACTCAGTCTTCACAGGAATGTTCTTTCCACTGTGTCATCCTCTCGGAAGTAAATGGCCTGGTCAGTATTAAATACACATACCCGACTTCCACTTGTGAACTCGACCCTCTTGTCCTGCTGTCTGCGCTTCCCAGCGTTCTGAAATGCCACCAGGCAGAGACTGCAGGACCACAGCTGGCTTTATTCATGAGGATCCCAGCAAACATCAGTGTACTTAGGAGACATCCAACGATGAGAACCCCCCAAATACCACCCACAGCTATTTCCTCAAGAGGTCCCCAAAGGTCCTACGAGGGCAACAAGGCAGGTCACAGTCCTGCTCCCCCACACGGAGAAGCTGCATCGGACTGTGCGAAGCCACCCACCCAAGCTGCCAGGGCCACGGGATCGCCCCCCACAGTTTACAGTCATGTAAAATACAAGAGATGAGCTCCCACTGTTTCCACAAACTGGTCAAATGCCTGCCACTGAAGTCCTGAAGAACCGCCCAAATTACTTCCCCTCGACGATCTCCAAGGGTGAGCAGACAAAGCAAGACCTCGTACTGAGACTTGGGGCAGTCAGGTTACCTCTGACGAAGTCAGACTCGCACACACTGCCGGCACTGCCACTTCAGCGGAGCAAACTTCAGGGGAGCAAACTTCATGGCGCCTGACTCCTTTTTAGTCTTTAAATGAGGAAAATGCATGTTTCCCTTTTTAAAAGGAAAATGCAAACTATCCTTGGCAGACATCCAGGCTAAGAAAAAGCCCTAGTTTTCAACTCTCCCTCATGTTTCTGAGTCAAAATTGCCGACTTGAGTTTGCAAATATGCATTCATTACATTCAGGACACAAGCTCCAAGGAGGGGAAAAAAATCACACCACATGGTTTTTAAATGCAGGGCATTGTGGTTGTCTGTCTGTCTGCATCTAATGAAGTCTGTCCCTGAGCCACAGAAAGGAGCCTAACGGCAGAAGAAACAGCATCAAAGGCAGCTTTCAAATCCCTAGAGAAAAAGATGGCGAGGGTCCTAACTTTCTACTACCGCCAAGTACTAGGGAGCTGGGTCACGTGGCATCATCTTTACCCAGAGCCCCCACAACTCCATCAAAATGCACCTGATGAATAAGTACACCTAGCGATAAGCCAATTCTGGGGGTCTCACTCACAAGAGGAAATTTAAGAGGGGGTACAATAAATCAAAGAAACAAAGGTTAGAGCCCTTAATTTAGGCTCCAGTCCTAAGAGAGGGTCAAATCACCAGCTATTTGATCAAAAACGTCCAGCCCCACCTCTGCCGCCCAGTCTCATTAGGGCTGGGGCCCTGCGAGCAGGTGCATGCAGCGAGAGTGCCGTCCCCATCCAGCCTGAGGGAGAATGGACAGAAGGTCAGAGCAGGGGATCTGGAGTCTGTGACACTCGGTGTGGCAGGTAAACACGACTATGGAATAACAGGTGTTTTCTTCCCTCCACAAGGGGAGGGGGTGCACGCTGACAGCCTGAACACCAGCAAGCATGGCCCTGGTGACACCAGGGAAGCACTCTAGGCCTGAAGACGTGCTGTGAGAACAGGGAACAGGGCACCGTGATGTCCTCACTACTGGGACATTTAGTGAACAAAGCATTCTGTATGCATTATCTTTTACTCCGCACACAACCCAGTATGTGAACGAATGTCCCCATTTTATAGGTGGAGAAACTGACGCTCTGAGCACGTGAAGTCAACCGGCTCAAGATTCACACACAGACCTGTTCCCTGTACCAGGGTATGGCCCTTCGGAGAGCAATGACCACTAATGTCCTAGCTAATCAACTTACAGAGGGACTGCGAAGGATACTGTTCTACAACTTGAGTATTTTAAGTGATTATAATCAAACATGGCAATACAGTAACCAATAATAAAAACTTATTTCCAATCCCTGGCCTTTGCTCTCCCACGAGAAATCAGAAAAGTCAATGACAGAACACCCCGAAGGAGGAGTTCTCCAGGGCAGGCACGTGACAGGAGTCAGCCCCACACCCAT